CGGCGCCGGGGGGGGTTGCGGCGGCGCCGGCGCCGGTTGGTGGTGGTGGTGGTGGTGCTGTTGGAAGAGCGAGGAGTTAGAAAGGGTGGAGATGTTCTGGTGGGGTGGCAAAATGGGGGTTTGGGGATGGGAATGAGGCGGTGGGGCATCAAAATGGTCTGGTGGGTCACCAGAATTGGTGGTTTGGTCGTCAAAAGGACCTCTTGGGTCATCCAAATATGGTTTTGGATGCCAAAATGGTGTTCTGGTGGTCAAAATGAGGTCTTGGGTCATTGAAAGGTGGTTTTGGACACCAAAATGGTCTTTTGGTCATCAAAATGACCTCTTGGGTCATCAAGATGTGGTTTTGGACACCAAAATGGTCTTTTGGTCATCAAAAGGACCTCTTGGGTCATCCAAATGTGGTTTTGGACATCAAAATCATCTTTTGGTTGTCAAAATCACTTCTTGGGTCATCAAGATGATGTTCTGGTCATCCAAATACATTTTCAGACCTCAAAATTAACTCCTGGGTCGTGAAAGAGACTTTTTTGGTCATTGAAACGACCTCTTGGGTCATCAAAATGTGGCTCTGGACACCAAAATGTTCTTCTGTGTCATCAAAAATGGCTTTTGGTCATCAAAATGACTGATCCCATCCCAATCTCAATCCATGGATCCAGCCCTAACCCAATCCAGGGATCCAACCCCAACCAAATCCATGGATCCAACCCCAACCCAATCCATGGATCCAACCCCAATCTCAATCCAGGGATCCAACCCCAACCCAATCCATGGATCCAACCCCAATCTCAATCCATGGATCCAAACCCAACCCAATCCCAATCCATGGATCCAATCCAAATCCATTGATCCAACCCCAATCCAAAGCCATGGATCCAACCCCAACCCAAGGATCCAACCCCAATCCAAGGATCCCATCCCAACCCGATCCCAATCCATGGATCCCAATCCAACCCCAATCCATGGATCCCAATCCAACCCCAATCCATGGATCCAATCCCATGGATCCAATTCCAGTCCCAGTCCTACCTTTTTCTGATCCCGCCCTGAGTGCCCTTTTTTCTTCAATTTTGGCGCCATTTCTGCCAAAATAAAAAAAAAGGAAAAGAAAAGAAATTAATTTGGGAACGGCTTCGGACAAACCCGACAACACCACTTGGGAACGGGGCAGGAATTCCCCAGGGATGGAGCTGGAATTCCCCAGGGATTTCTGGGATTGGGGATCGGGGGTTTTGCCGCCAAAAAAATGAGGGAAAATTGTTGGGAAAAGATCCAACGGCCAAGGAAATCCATGGATTCCACAGGATCAGATGTCCCAGGAATGTCGCTGCTCCAGAGGGAGAACCTCGGCAAATTCCATCGCCGGTCATTGGATCCCAGCTGGAATCGCGTTGCCAGGAGAAGATTCCAAGGATTTTAACCCAAAGATGATCCCAAATTCTATCGCCGGTTGATGGGTTCCAGTCGGAATTGTGAGGTCCAGAAAGAAATTCCAAGGATTTCAACCCAAAGATGACCCCAAATTCCATCATCGGTGTTGGATCCCAGGTGGAATCATGAGGTCCAAAAGAAGATTCCAGAGATTTTAACCCAAAGATGATCCCAAATTCGGTGGTGGTGGTGGTGGTGCTGTTGGAAGAGCGAGGAGTTAGAAAGGGTGGAGATGTTCTGGTGGGGTGGCAAAATGGGGGTTTGGGGATGGGAATGAGGCGGTGGGGCATCAAAATGGTCTGGTGGGTCACCAGAATTGGTGGTTTGGTCGTCAAAAGGACCTCTTGGGTCATCCAAATATGGTTTTGGATGCCAAAATGGTGTTCTGGTGGTCAAAATGAGGTCTTGGGTCATTGAAAGGTGGTTTTGGACACCAAAATGGTCTTTTGGTCATCAAAATGACCTCTTGGGTCATCAAGATGTGGTTTTGGACACCAAAATGGTCTTTTGGTCATCAAAAGGACCTCTTGGGTCATCCAAATGTGGTTTTGGACATCAAAATCATCTTTTGGTTGTCAAAATCACTTCTTGGGTCATCAAGATGATGTTCTGGTCATCCAAATACATTTTCAGACCTCAAAATTAACTCCTGGGTCGTGAAAGAGACTTTTTTGGTCATTGAAACGACCTCTTGGGTCATCAAAATGTGGCTCTGGACACCAAAATGTTCTTCTGTGTCATCAAAAATGGCTTTTGGTCATCAAAATGACTGATCCCATCCCAATCTCAATCCATGGATCCAGCAATAGACTTTTTTGGTCATTGAAATGACCTCTTGGGTCATCAAAATGTGGCTCTGGACACCAAAATGTTCTTCTGTGTCATCAAAAATGGCTTTTGGTCATCAAAATTACTGATCCAACCCCAATCTCAATCCATGGATCCAAACCCAACCCAATCCCAATCCATGGATCCAATCCAAATCCATTGATCCAACCCCAATCCAAAGCCATGGATCCAACCCCAACCCAAGGATCCAACCCCAATCCAAGGATCCCATCCCAACCCAATCCCAATCCATGGATCCCAATCCAACCCCAATCCATGGATCCCAATCCAACCCCAATCCATGGATCCCAATCCAACCCCAATCCATGGATCCAATCCCATGGATCCAATTCCAGTCCCAGTCCTACCTTTTTCTGCTCCCGCCCTGAGTGCCCTTTTTTCTTCAATTTTGGCGCCATTTCTGCCAAAATAAAAAAAAAGGAAAAGAAAAGAAATTAATTTGGGAACGGCTTCGGACAAACCCGACAACACCACTTGGGAACGGGGCAGGAATTCCCCAGGGATGGAGCTGGAGTTCCCCAGGGATGGAGATGGAATTCCCCAGGGATTTCTGGGATTGGGGATCGGGGGTTTTGCCGCCAAAAAAATGAGGGAAAATTGTTGGGAAAAGATCCAACGGCCAAGGAAATCCATGGATTCCACAGGATCAGATGTCCCAGGAATGTCGCTGCTCCAGAGGGAGAACCTCGGCAAATTCCATCGCCGGTCATTGGATCCCAGCTGGAATCGCGTTGCCAGGAGAAGATTCCAAGGATTTTAACCCAAAGATGATCCTAAATTCTATCGCCGGTTGATGGGTTCCAGTCGGAATTGTGAGGTCCAGAAAGAAATTCCAAGGATTTCAACCCAAAGATGACCCCAAATTCCATCATCGGTGTTGGATCCCAGGTGGAATCATGAGGTCCAAAAGAAGATTCCAGAGATTTTAACCCAAAGATGATCCCAAATTCCATCACCAGTTGATGGGTTCCAGTCAGAATCGTGAGCTCCAAAAGAAGATTCCAAGGATTTCAACCCAAGGGTGATCCCAAATTCCATTGGGTTTTGGTCCCAGTTGGAATCGCGGTCCCAGAAGGATCATCCCAGATTTTGGAGATTACCTCAACCTTCATCCCTGTTTTTGCGTCCCAGTTGGAATTGTGAGGTCCAGAAGGATCATCCTGGATTCTGGAGATCCCAAGCCAAGGATGATCCCAGCTTTCATCACCAGCTTTTGGATCCCAGTGGGAACTGCGTTTCCAGAAGAAGATTCCAAGAACATCAACCCAAGGATGATCCCAAACTCCATCACGAATTTTGGGTTGCAGTTGGAATTTCCTGGTCCAGAAGGAGATTCCAAGGATGATCCCAAACTCCATCACAGATTTTGGGTCCCAGTTGCAATTGTGAGATTCCATGGCGATCCCAAGGATGATCCCAAATTCCATCACTGGTTGTTGGGTCCCAGTCGGAATCGTGTCCCCAGAAGGATCATCCTGGATTTTGGACATCCCAAAGATGATCCCAACCTTCATCACCAACTGGAATTTTCTAGTCCAGAAGGATCCTCCTGGATTTTGGAGATCCCAACCCAAGGATGATCCCAAACTCCATCACGATTTTGGGTCCCAGTTGGAATTTTCTGGTTCAGAGGAGATTCCAAGGATTTCAGCCCAAGGATGATCCCAAACTTCCTCCCTGACCATCGGATCTGAGTCGGAATCGCGCTCCCAGAAGGATCATCCCAGATTTTGGAGATCCCAACCCAACCCATGGATGAACCTTCAACCCCGAATCCACGGGGATAAAATCCAGGACTGATGGAGAAGCCACTTCCAGGTGATTTTGGGGCAGAAATGTTGAATTTATGGGATTTTTCCCCAAATTTTCCCTCAAATCCTGATTTTATTCCCACCAAACAGCAAAACGCCGACGGACGGATCCAAATTCCCACATCCTGGGGTGAAATTCCGTGAAAAAAGCGAATTTTTGGAGTCCTTTTATCGCTTTTATAATTCCCAAACATCCAACGGATCCAAGTTTTTGAGGGAGTGAGGAATTGGTGCTTCCAAGGCTGAGAAATCTTGGGAAAAGGAACATAAAAATCAACAGATTTGGGGAAAATATTTGAGGCAGATCAAAGTTTCTAGGAAAAAAATCTGGATTTGGTGGTTTGGACTCAAATTCATCCCAAAAAATGAAATTTTCCAGGTTTTTCTGCTTCCATCCACCACTTTTTTGGGAAAAAATTAAAGGTCTCGATTTGGGATGACCCAGTTGTGTTTCTTTTGGTGGATTTGATGGAAAGTCAGGCAAAAATCAGGAAAAAAACCCCAAAAAATATGATTTAAAGGATAAATCCAGGGAAGAATTCAAAACCAAATCCCTGGATTTTTCCATTTCTAAGTCAGGCTTAAAAATTCCAACAAGACCTTTTAACCTCATCCAAAACCCCCCCAAATTTATGGGAAACTCCTTAAAATTGTTCTAAAAAAAAATCACAAAAATGCTCAGATTCCTAATTCTGGATTTATCCTGGAAAAATCCTGGAAAATCACCACCAGATCCAGCTCAGTCCTGGGCTTTTTTTGGGATTATTTCATTTTATTTGGGATTTTTTTCTCTTTTTTGGAGATTTTTGGGGTTTTTTTTTCTCTTTTTTTGGGGAATATTTTTGGATTTCTGCTGCCTCTCCACACCTGACCCGCTCTGGAATTCAATCCCGAATATTTCCACGGGATTTTCCAACACTGGAGCCACCAAACCCTTCCCACTTCCTGGAGTTAAGCCCGGCTCAACGTCAGATTTTGGGATGGGAACAAATCCCAAACCCACAGCGGGGATGGGCGCGAGGAAAGGTGGGAATAAGGAAAATTTGGGATAATAACCAGGAAAAATCAGGCGCAGGGAGCGACGCCGGGGACGTGGAATTCCAAATTTCCTCAAAATCCATTTTTAACTCCAGATCCCAGACCCCAAATCCGCCCGGTGCCGTAAAATAAAAAAGGATTTATCCCTAAAATCCCATTTTTCCCAATTTTTTAATCTGTTAAATCCCATTCCCTCCGTTTTTTTAACCCTAAAATCCCCTTTTCCCAATTTTTTAATCCGGAGTCCTGCTCCCTCCATTTTTTTCTTCCTAAAATTTCATTTTTCCCATAAAATCCCATTCCCTCCATCTTTTTATCCATAAAATCCAATTTTTTCATAAAATCCCTTTCCCTGTCTTATTTTCTCAATAAAATCCCATTCTTTCCATATTTTTATCCATAAAATCCCATTTTTTCTTTAAAATATCTTTCCCTCCATCATATTTTTATCCATAAAATCCCATTCCTTACATTTTTCTTCATAAAATCCCATTTTTCCATAAAATCCCTTTTCCTCCATCTTATTTTCTCCATAAAATCCCTTTTCCTCCATCATTTCATCCATAAAATCCCATTTTTTCCATAAATACCCTTTCCTCCATCTTATTTTTGCCACCAAATCCATTTTCCTCCATGCTTTTGTCCACAAAATCCCATTCCTTGCATTTTTTCCTCCATGAAATCCCATCTGCTCCATCTTTTTCCTCCAAAAAATAGGGTTTTTTTCCATCTTTTTAAAATAAAACCCCATTTTTTTCCGTAAAATCCTTTTCCCTCCATCTTATTTTCACCATAAAATCCCTTTCCCTCCATTTTTTCTCCATAAAACCCCATCTGCTCCATTTTTTCCCCCATAAAATCACATTTTTTCCCCCCAAAAACCCCTTCCCTCCATCTCCACACAACATTCCCAACAGCTCCCACCACAAATCCCACTTATCCCAAAAAAACCCCACCGAGCCCACCCAACCCAAACCTCCCACGGCGCTCGCTCCGGGATTAAAAAAATCCATAAAAAATGTAAAAAATCACGGCAGGGGTCAGGAAACGGCCAAGGCTCCCCCAAAGAAGAATGGACGGCGAAGGCAGGAATGAAATCGAGTTTATTTGTCCGGCAAAGGTCGGGAGAGGCGGGAAGCGCTAACCTGAGTCCGACTCGTCGCTGTCGGAGGAGCTCGACTCGCTGCTGGATTCCGACTCCGACGACGAGAATCCCTTGAGCTTGGAGGAGCCGGCCAGGACGTCGAGCTTCTCTGCCGGGAACAACGGGAGCGCGTCACCGCGGGGCGTTAACGGGGATTGAGCGACTCAACCCAACCGGGCTGGCCTAAAGTCAGCCGGGGCATCCCAACTGGGGCAGCCTGAGCTCAGCTGGTTGGTTCTAAACTCAACTGGGTCATCCTAAACTCAACCAGTTGGTTCTAAACTCAACTAGTTGGTTCTAAACTCAACCAGTTGGTTCTAAACTCAACTGGGTCATCCTGAACTCAACTGGGTCTTCCTAAACCCAACTGGTTGGTCCCAAACTCAACTGGTTCATCTGAAACTCAAGTGGTTGGTTCTAAACTCAACTGGGTCATCCCAAACTCAACTGGGTCATCCCAAACTCAACTGGTTGGTTCTAAACTCAACCAGGTCATCCCAAACTCAACCGGTTGGTTCTAAACTCAACCAGTTCATCCTAAACCAAACTGGCTGATCCCAAACTCAACTGGTTGGTTCTAAACTGAACTGGTTCATTCTAAACCCAGCTGGGTCATCCTAAAATCAACTGGTTCATCCTAAACCAAACTGGCTGGTTCTAAACTCAGCTGGTTAATCCTAAACATAACTGGTTGGTCCTGAACTTAACTGGTTGGCCCTAAAATCAACTGGTTCATCCTAAACCCAACCGGTTGGTCCTAAAGCCAACTGGTTGGTCTTGAACTCAACTGATTTGCTCCAAATGCAATGGCTTGTCTCAACTGGTTATTCCCAAACTCAACTGGTTGATCCTAAACCCAGCTGGTTCATCCCAACTGGTTCAGCCCAAACCCAACTGCTCCAGCCCGAACTTAACTGGTTCATCCCAACTGGTTTGTTGCAAACGTGCATTCGGTAATTTAAAATACCGAAACTTTTAATAAAATCTTTAATTATTACAACTACAATGAGGCCTGCAGCAGCCGCCATTTTAAATCCCACCCACCACCATCCCGGCGAGGTAAAAACGCCTCCAAAACCTCCCCAAACCCCAATCCTCGGGATTAAAACCACCGGAAAACCGGGCTGAAACCCCCAATTTTTGGGGTGTGGACGTACCTGGGGGTTTCCTCTTCTTGCGCAGGCAGGAGGTGACGTAACGCTCGAGCTCGCGCAGCGTCGACGGCTTCAGCGTCTCGAAGTCGATCTCGATCTCGTCGGGGTTGGAGTTCTTGAGCGAGGGCTCCCGGGACTGGATGATGTGCACAACCCTGCCCAGCTTCTCCCCGGGCAGTTTGTTGATGTCCAGGCTCAGCTGGCGTTTCTCCTCGTAGGACATGGGTTTGCACTTCTCCTCCTCCTCCGACTCGTAGGTGGGCGCGGCTTTGCTGGGCTTCACCGGCGCCGGCTCCTTCTTGCTGCTCACGGGAATAAAAAATGGTGGTTTAGGCCTAAACCCGGCCTAAACCAAACGTAAACCAGCCCTAACCCACAGGATCTGGAGGACTTTGCTGCCACCAGCTCCTTCTTGGTGCTCACACCAACAAAAAATGGTGGTTTAGGCCTAAACCCAGCCTAAACTCAACATAAACCGGCCCTAACCCACAGGACCTGGAGGACTTCACCACCACTGGCTCCCTCTTGGTGCGCGCATGACCAAAAAATGGGGTTTTAAGCTTTAACCCAGCCTAAGCCACAGGAGCTGCAGAGCTTCACCACTGGCTCCTTCTTGCTGTTCACAAACCAAAAAAATGGCATTTGAGATCTAAACCTGGCCTAAATCTGACCTAAACCCGCCCTAAACCCGGCCCTAACCCACAGGAGCTGGCAGAGGTTTAGTTTTTATCCTAAAAATTAGTGGCTTTGTTGGTTGTGCCTTTGGGGTGGAAAGCTGAGCTTAAAATGTGTGGTGATCCCAAAGGTGAGCTCAAGGTGGTCTTGACCAAGCTCCACCTGCACCTGAGCTTAGGCTAGTCCTAGCCACCCAAAACTGAGCTCAAACTGCTCTTGAATGACCAAAACCGAGCTCAAGCTATTCAGAAACCAAAAACTGAGCTTAATTTACTCCCAGACACCCAAAACTGAGCTCAAGCTGGTTTTGAACACCCAAAACTGTGTTTAATTTACTCCTGGACATCCAAAACTGAGCTTAGTTTGCTCCTGGACAACCAAAACTGAGCTCAAGCTGTTCAGAAACCCAAAGCTGAGCTTAATTTGCTCCTCCACACCCAAAGCTGAGCTTAATTTACTCCTAGACACCCAAAACTGAGCTCAAGCTGGTTTTGAACACCCAAAGCTGAGCTCAAGCTGGTTTTGGACAGCCAACACTACGCTTAATTTACTCCTGGACAACCAAAACTGAGCTCAAGCTGGTTTTGGACACCCAAAGCTGAGCTTAATTTGCTCCTGGCACCAAAAACTCAGCTCCAGCTATTCAGAAACCCAAAACTGAGCTTAATTTACTCCTGGCACCCAAAACTGAGCTTAATTTGCTCCTGCACACCCAAAACCCAGCTCCACCTGCCCAGCCAGGTGTCTCCAGCAGCCACGGAGAAGAATCAGCTCCAAACCCTGAGCTGACCTCAAGGCTGAGCTCAACCCCACCCATCACTTGGGGCCACGAGGTCCCTCGTTAAGAACCCTGTGGTAATTACCTTAATTAGCACCGGGGAATCCCCAAACTGCCCCAGGGAATTGTGGGAAGGGCCCACCTGGAGGCGCTGCTGTTGCTGTTGCTCTTCTTGGCCTTCTTGGGTGGTGGCTCCTTGGCCTTGCTCTTCTTGGCGTCCTCCAGCTCCTCCTTCTTTTTGTGCTTCTCCTTCTTCTTCTCCTTCTTGTCCTTCTCCTTCTTCTTTGGTTTGTTCTGCTGGGGCTGGGACAGCGCCGCCAGCTGCTCGTGCACGGCCTTGAGCTGCGGGAATGGGGGGATGGAGCTTGGAGAAGTTCTCCAGAAGGTCAGGTCCCACCTCGGACTGAGCCCAGGCTTCTCAGCCAGAGCAGCGTCCGGCCACGCCTTGGTCACCTCCAAGGTCATTGACTGCAAACTGGGATTGACCAACCCCACCTGGTCACCCAGATCAGTGTCCATGGAGATCTCCAGGGTCACCAAACCAAACCCATGACCCCACCTGGTCACTGTCACCTCCAATGGTTGCACGGAGACCTCCAGGGTCATCAAACCCAGGCCATGACTGACCCCACCTGGTCCCTGAGTGTGTCACCTCCAATGGTTCCATGGAGAACTCCAAGGTCATTGATTTCAACCCAGGATTGACCAACCCCCACCTGGTCACCCAGACCAACGTCCAGGGGTTCCATGGAGACCTCCAGGGTCATCAAATCTGACCTCTGACTGACCCCACCTGCTCACTGTCACCTCCAATGGTTCCATGGACACCTTCAGGGTTATTGACTGCAACCCAGGATTGACCAACCCTCCCTGGTCATCCAGGGGTTCCATGGAGACCTCCAGGGTCATCAAATCTGACCTCTGACTGACCCCACCTGCTCACTGAGTGTCACCTCCAAGGGTTCCACGAGGCCTCCAAGGTCATCAAACCCAATCCATGACCCCACCTGGCCACCGAGTTTTGGGTCAACAAACCCAATGATTTTCGGTCAACCCAACACTTCCAGGCCAACAAACTCAAGGATTTTGGGTCAACCCAAGGATTTCAGATCAAATGGATGATTTTTGCTCAACAAACCCAACAATTTCAGGTCAATCCAACCACTTTGGGTCAACCAACCCAATGGTTTGAGTCAACCCAACGCAACTTTAGGTCAAAATACCTAACAGTTCTGGAGCAACAAACCCAACAATTTTGGATCAAACCCAACAATTTTCAGTTAAAACCCAACAATTCCTGGCCAACAAACTCAATAATTTCAAGTCAACCCAACGATTCTGGGTCAACAAACCCAACGATTCTGCGTTGACAAACCCAACAACTTCCGGTCAACAAACTCAACGATTCTGGGTCAACAAACTCAACTATCTCAAGTCAACCCAATAACCTTGGGCCAACAAACCCAACCATTTTGGGTCAACAAACTCAACAATTTAGGTCAACAAACCCAACAATTCTGGGTCAACAAACCCAACAATTCTGGGCCAACAAACCCAATAATTCCAGACTGACAAACCCAACGATTTCAGGTCGACAAGCCCAATAATTCTGGGTCAACAAACAATTCTGGGTCGACAAACCAAATGATTTTGAGTTAACAAACCCAACAATTTTGTTGCCTCTGGAGGTTGATGGCCACGGGACATCCACGACTTCCATCCCTGTCCCCAAGACCACCCAACCCCACTGGAAGGACACTTGGACCACCCGGTACCTGCTCCTGGAGCTCGGCCAAGCGCTGCGCCCGCTCCTCCTCAGAGTCGTCGGAGGAGCTGTCGCTGTCGGAGGAGCTGTCGCTGCTGCTGTCGCTGGACGAGGGCGGGGCCACCTTGGTGGGGGGCGGGACCACCACCGGGGACGAGGCGGGGATCACCGGCTCCTCCGGCTCGTCCGGCATCTTGGCAAAGCGCATCTCGAACACGTCCTGGAATCACAGGGAACGGGCCGGAAGTGACGCCGGGGTCGGCACCGCGGCATCTCCAAAGGGGGCACCCTACGGACTGGTGGGTTCTACACCAAAGGTCAACACCTGGACATGGAGTGGGGTGAGGGACCCTGAAATCTTGGGAGTTTCTTGGAATTCTGACTCTCTCCAAGGTGGATTTAGGGGAAAATTTATGGGATTTACTTCATTTCTCATTTAAAAACGGCAACTTTCAGGTTCTTCAGATCTTCTGGATCTTCTTGGATCACCTTCAGTAGAGGTTCCACCCATGGATTCCCACTGGAGATCTCAGCCATCTCCAAGGTGGTTTAAGGGGAAAAATTCACAGGATTTCCTCAATTTCTCATTCAAAAGCTGTGTTTATACAAGTTCTTGAGATCTTCTGGATCTTCTTGGACAATCTTTGATTGACTCCATGATTTTCGAGGTCTTTTCCAACCCCAATTCCACCATGGATTTCCATTGGTGATCTCAACCCTCTCCAAGATGGTTTTGGGGGAAAAATTTATAGGATTTATTCATTTAAAAGCTGTGTTTTGGAGAGTTACGAGTTTTCGTGGATCTTCTTGGATCATCTTTAGTTGACCCCATGATTTTTGAGGTCTTTTCCAACCTCCATTCCACCATGGATTCCCACTGCAGATCTCAACCCTCTCCAAGGTGGTCTTGGGGGAAAAATTCAGAGGATTTCCTCAATTTCTCATTTAAAAGCTGTGTTTATACAAGTTCTTGAGATCTTCTGGATCTTCCTGGATCATCTCTGGTTGACTCCATGATTTTCAAGGTCTCGTCCAGCTTTACTTGGGGTTTTGGGGTTTGGGCTTTGGGATCATGTGTTTGGGTTTTGGAGTTTGGGATTTGGGGTCGTTCACTGGAGTTCTGGAGTTTCTACCCTGGAATCGTTCATTGGAATTTTGAGTTTTGGAGTTCCTACCTTGGGATTGTTTATTGAGATTTTGAGTTTTGGAGTTTCTGCTTCGGGATTGTTCGTTGGGGTTTAGGGTTTTGGAGTTTCTACCTTGAGATCATTTGTTTGAATTTTGGGTTTTGGAGCTTCTCCCTTGGGATCATTCACTGGGGTTTTGGATTTTGGAGTTTCCACCTTGGGATCATTCATTGGGGTTTTGGAGCTTCTACCTTGGGATTGTTTGTTGGAATTTTGACTTTTGGAGTTTCTACCTTGGGATCATTCTTTGGGGTTTTGGCTTTTGGAGAGTTTACCCTGGGATCGTTTGTTGGAATTTTGGCATTTGGAGTTTGTGCTTTGGAATAGCTCTTGGAATTTTAGGGTTGGAGGTTGGGCTTTGAGGGCGTTCGTTGGGAGTTTCGGGTTTTGGAGTTTCTACCTTGAGATCATTTATTGGAATTTTCGGTTTTGGAGTTTATATCTCGGTATCGTTCATTGGAGTTTTGGAGTTTCTGCTTTGGGATCATTCATTGGGATTTTGGAGTTTCTGCTTTGGGATCATTCATTGGGGTTTTGGAGTTTCTACCTTGGGATCGTTCGTTGGGGTTTTGGGGTTTCTACCTTGCGATCATTCGTTGGAGTTTTGGGTTTTGGAGTTTCTACCTTGGGATTGTTCAGTTGGAGTTTTGGGTTTTGGAGTTTCTACCTTGGGATCGTTCGTTGGGGTTTTGGGTTTTGGAGTTTGGGCTTTGGAGTTTTTGGAGTTTGTGCTTTGGGATCATTTATTGGAATTTTGACTTTTGGAGTTCCTACTTTGAGATCATTCATTAGAATTTTGGGTTTTGGAGTTTCTCCTCTGGGATCACTCAATTAATAACATTAAATGAAATAATAAATCCCAACACCAAACTAAACTAATTAACCCCGGCTAACAAAGCAATACTAATAGCCCGCGGCGCCGGGGCCGCCGAACGGCAGCGGCGGCGCCAGGCCCGGAACCGGCGGCACCGGCGGCACCGGAGGCGCCGGGGAGGAGGCCTGGGAGGCGTTGGGCACCGCCGAGGAGCCCGGCTTGGATGGCACTGCCGGGAGAGACGCGGTCAGAGCGGGGAAAATGGGGGGGAAAAGGGAAACCCCCCCCTTTTTTTTGCCGAGTCAGCGTTTTTGATTAGCCCCTATTTTTTTTTTTTTGGGGGCAAATCCCACTGGGGAAAAAAAGGGAATTTTCCTGGAATTTTGGGAATTCTCCTGGAATTTTGGGGATTCTCACCTGCAGCTTGCGGGCCATGGCCACCACCTCGTGGTCGGCGGGGTTGTACTTGTAGCAGTTGGAGAACATCAGCCGCACGTCGGCCGCGAACTCCTGAGCGTCGCGGTACTCCCGGCCCTCCAGCTTGGACTGCGAAAAACACCAAAAATTGGGAATTCTGGTGGAATTCCACGGGAATTCAGCACCTGGGATGCGCACCTGGGCGGGGGGTTTATGGGGAGAGGGTGGGGCAAAAAAATTATTTGTTTTGGGCAGAAAAAAATCTGGTTTTGGGTAAAAAAATCCCTTTTTCGGTCCATGAAAATGACTATTTTTGGTCCATAAAACGCTTTATTTTGGTCCAAAACCCCCTTATTTTGATCTATGAAAATAGCTATTTTTGGTTTAAAAACTCCTTTTTTTGATCCACAAAAATTACTATTTTTGGCTCAAGAAAACCCTCTTTTGGTCCATAAAAATGACTATTTTTGGTTCGAGAAAATGACTACTTTTAGTCAAATAAACCCCTTATTTTTGGTCCAAAAACTCCTTTTGGTCCATAAAAATGACTGATTTTGGTCCATAAAAATGACTGATTTTGGTCAAAAGAGCACCTTATTTTGGTCAAAAAAAAGACTATTTTTGGTCAAAACCCCCTTTTTTTTGGTCCAGAAATATTACTATTTTTGGTCAAAAACCCCTTTTTTTGGTCCATGAAAAAGACTATTTTTGGTTTAAAAAGCCCTTCTTTTGGTCCATAAAAATGAGTATTTTTTGTTAAAATACTCCTTATTTTGAACCAAAAACCTCTTATTTGGGCCAGAATAAATAATTATTTTTGGTAAAAAAAAAAAAATCCTATTTCTGGCCAAAAAACCTCCCTTCCCTCCATCCAGAAGGTGCCAAAATCCTGAAATTTTTTTCCCCAAAACCCTTTCCTTTGGAACTTCCTATTAAAAAATCCATTTGAGAGTTTTTAGGAGCTGTCCTGGAAAGATTTAGGGCTGATTTTCCTCCTGAACACCAAAAAGGAGAAACCAAAGATCCCCAAACCCAAAACTGCCACTGAAATGTGCCAAAATCCCAAATTTCCTCTCCAAAATCCCATCTCATTTCCCCAAAATCCCATTTCATTCCCCCAAAACCCCAAATTTCCTCCCCAAAATCCCATTTTATTCCCCCAAAATCCCATTTTATTCCCCCAAAATCCTATTTTATTCCCCCAAAATCCTAAATTTCCTCTCCAAAATCCCATTTCATTCCCCCAAAACCCCAAATTTCCTCCCCAAAATCCCATTTTATTCCCCCAAAATCCTATTTTATTCCCCCAAAATCCTAAATTTCCTCTCCAAAATCCCATTTCATTCCCCCAAAACCCCAAATTTCCTCCCCAAAATCCCATTTTATTCCCCCAAAATCCTATTTTATTCCCCCAAAATCCTAAATTTCCTCTCCAAAATCCCATTTCATTCCCCCAAAACCCCAAATTTCCTCCCCAAAATCCCATTTTATTCCCCCAAAATCCTATTTTATTCCCCCAAAATCCTAAATTTCCTCTCCAAAATCCCATTTCATTCCCCCAAAACCCCAAATTTCCTCCCCAAAATCCCATTTTATTCCCCCAAAATCCTATTTTATTCCCCCAAAATCCTAAATTTCCTCTCCAAAATCCCATTTCATTCCCCCAAAACCCCAAATTTCCTCCCCAAAATCCCATTTTATTCCCCCAAAATCCTATTTTATTCCCCCAAAATCCTAAATTTCCTCTCCAAAATCCCATTTCATTCCCCCAAAACCCCAAATTTCCTCCCCAAAATCCCATTTTATTTTTTCCTCCTAAAACCCCCATTTTTTGGTCTAAAAACCCCATTTTTTTTCCCAAAAGCCCCATTTTTTTCCCCAAAATCCTCTTTTTTCCCCCAAATTTTTGTTTTCCCCCCATTTTCCTTGTCCAATAATTCCATTTTTCCTCCTAAAACCCCCATTTTTCCCCCTAAAATCCATTTTTTCCCCATTTTTTCCCCCCGGCTGACCTTGATGGTGCTGAGGTCCATGGGGTGTTTGATGATGTCGCAGTAGTCGTGCAGCCCCAGCGCCTCCACGTCCACGGGTTTGTAGAAGGGCCAGGCGTAGGCCGCGTGCTTCTTGGCGAACATCTCCTTGATGATGCCCCCGCAGTACTTGAGCTGCTCCGAGGCCTTGGAGCCGCGCAGCTCCACGGAATGCTGCTGCGAGTCCGGCATCTCCTTCTTGGGGGGCTTCACGGGCCGGCCGCTCTCGCGCCGCGGGCCCAGCTTGGTGGCCTTGGGCTCGGCGGGCAGCGAGGAGGAGTCGTGGATGGGGTCCATGGCGGTGGGAGTGGTGGTGTCTGCTTTCCTCTTCACTCCTTTCTTTGTCTGCCAGGGGAAAGGAGAGGTCAGGGAGGGGATTTGGGGGGTGGAGGTTGGCTTTGGGGATGGGGTTTTGGGTTTTGGAGTTTGGGCTTTGGAGTTTTTGGAGTTTGTGCTTTGGGATCATTTATTGGAATTTTGACTTTTGGAGTTCCTACTTTGAGATCATTCATTAGAATTTTGGGTTTTGGAGTTTCTCCTCTGGGATCACTCAATTAATAACATTAAATAAAATAATAAATCCCAACACCAAACTAAACTAATTAACCCCGGCTAACAAAGCAATACTAATAATCATGACAACGAAATAATAATAATAACAAACACAACAGCAAACCCTACATCCCAATTAGGCTAATTACCCATGCCTAATGAAGCAATAATAACAATTATAATGACAATGATAATATAATACCACTAATAATAACGACATCATGATTAACACCAACAAAAATGAACACAATACCCCCCCCACCTCCTGATTAAGCTAATTACTGGAACCTCACAAAGCAAAAATAATTACGATGAAAATGGTAATAATAACAATGAAAACAGTAAAAATAATAATGAAAAGAATAACAATAACAACAACAATTAACACCAAACCCCAATCCCACCCCAATTAAGCTAATTAGTGGCTGCTAACAAGGCAATAACAACAATTATAATAATCAAAATGAAAGTGATAATAACAAAAATAACAATAAAACGATTAACACGACCAAGCCCAATCCCAACCCCACCCCAATTAAGCTAATTAGCAGCTGCTAATGAATCAATAATAACAATTATAATAATGGAAACAAAAGTGATAATAACAAAAATAACAATAAAACAATTAACACCACCAAGCCCAACCCCAACCCCACCCCAATTAAGTGAATTAGCGGCCGCTAATGAAGCAATATTAATAATAATAATAACAATAATAAATAACAACAAAAAACCCCCAATAATTAAACTATTATAACCACCACCCCCACCCCTAATTAAGCTAATTAGCGGCCTCTCACCTTGACGGGTAAAGTAAGGGAAAAAATAAGGGGAAAATAAGGGGGAAAATAAGGGGGAAAATAAGGGGGAAATGAGGGAAAGGAGGGGGGGAAATGGGGGAAATATGGTGGGAAATAAGGGGGAAAATGAGGGAAAGGAGAGGGGAAAATGAAGAGAAATGTGGGGAAGATAAGGGAAAGAAAGGGGAAAAATGAAGGGAAATGGGGGAAATAAGGGACAAAATGGGAAAATATGGGGAAAATAGGGGAAAATAAGGGGAAATGGGAGAAAATGAGGGAAAGGAGGGGGGAAAATGAAGGGAAATGGGGGGAAATATGGGGGAAAATATGGGGGGAAAATGAGGGAAATGGGGGGAAATGAGGGAGAAGAGGGGGGAAGGGGAGAAAAATACAGGAAAATAGGGGAGAAATGGGGGGAAAGAGAGGAAAAAAGAGAAAAATAAGGGAAAATGGGGGAGAAATGGGGAAAATTGGGGGAAAATACGGGGGAAAATAAGGGAGAAAATAAAGGGGAATAGGGGGAAAAATAAGGGGGAAAATAGGAAAAAATATGGGAGAAATGGGGGGAAAATAGGGGAAAAGGAGGAGAAAAATGAGGGGAAATAAGGGAAAATAGGAGAGAAAATAAGAGGGGAAATATGGAAAAATAGGTGAGAAATGGGGAGGAAATGAAGAGAAATAAGAGAAAATAAGGGGGAAAATGAGAGAAAATAGAGGGGAAAATAACCAGGAAAATAGGGGGGAAAATGGGGGAAAAACAGGAGGAGAAATGGGGGGAAAGGGGGGGATAAAAAGGGGAATTTTGGGGGGACTTTTGAGGATTTGGGGATTTTTTTGGGAGAATTTTGAGGATTTGGGGATGTTTTGGGGGGAATTTTGGGGAGGGATTTGGGGATTTTTTTTTGGTGAAATCCTGAGAATTTTGAGGATTTTGAGATTTCTTTGGGGGGAATTGGGGGAATTTTTAGGGGGGAATGTTGGGATTTTTTTTCAGGAATTTCTTGGAGAATTTTGATGATTTTGGGATTTTTTAGGGCAGAAATTGTGGGAATTTTTTGAGGGAATTTTGCAGATTTGGGGATTATTTGGGGGAATTTCAGGGTTTTTTTGGAGGGCATTCTTGGAATTTTTTTGGGGGAATTTTGAGGATTTGGGCTTTTTTTGGGGGGGAATTTTGGGATTTTTTTTTCAGGAATTTCAGTAATTCTTTAGGAAATCTTGAGGATTTTTTGGCGGGAATTTTGAGGATTTGGGGATTATTTGGGGGGAATTTTGGGATTTTTTGGGAGCCCCACCTGGTTCCTTGCGGGCGCGGCCCCGGCCCTTGGTCTGGGCGATGACGATTTCCGTCTCCTCCTGCGTCATCTCCGAGATCTTCTGCAGGAAAAGCTTCTCCAGAGCTTCTGCCATCAGCACAATGTCACCCCCCCTAGGCTGAAAAATTGGGGAAAAACCAGAAATTAGGGAAAAAACCCCAGGAACTATGGGAAAAAAACCCAGGAATTAGGGGGCAAACCCCCAGGAATAAGGCAAAAATAAAACAGGAATTAGGGGAAAAAACCCAGGAATTAGGGGAAAAGCTTCTCCAGAGCTTCTGCCATCAGCACAATGTCATCCCCTGGCTGCAAAATGGGGAAAAAAAACAGGAATTAGGGAAAAAAAAACAGGAATCAGGGGGAAAAAAAACAGGAATTAGGGGGAAAACACCCAGGAATAAGGCAAAAATAAAACAGGAATTAGGGAAAAAAACCCAGGAATTAGGGGAAAAGTTTCTCCAGAGCTTCTGCCATCAGCACAATGTCATCCCCTGGCTGGAAAATGGGGAAAAAAACAGGAATTAGGGGAAAAAACCCAGGAATCAGGGGGAAAAAAACCCAGGAATTAGGGGGGAAACCCCCAGGAATTGGGGAAAAATAAAAGAGGAATTAGGGAAAAAAACCCAGGAATTAGGGAAAAAGCTTCTCCAGAGCTTCTGCCATCAGCACAATGTCATCCCCTGGCTGGAAATTGGGGAAAAAAACCCAGGAATTAGGGAAAAAGCTTCTCCAGAGCTTCTGCCATCAGCACAATGTCATCCCCTGGCTGCAAAATGGGGAAAAAACCCAGGAATTAGGAGAAAAAATACTCAGGAATTAGGGGGAAAAGCCCCAGGAATTAGGGAAAAAAAAAACCGGGGAAAAACCCAGGAATTAGGGAAAAATAAAACAGGAATTATGGGAAAAATGGAACAGGAATTAGGGGAAAAATCCCCCAGGAATTAGGGGTTTTCCAAGAGGGATTTGGGGCTGGAGATTTCGGGGTGAGTCCTGGGTTTCTATAGGGAGAGGCTGAGGATGGGAAGATGGGAAAGGGAAAAAATGAGGGAAAATAGGGAAAAAAGGGGAAATTGGGGGAACAGAGGGAAAAAAGGGGGGGAAATAAGGAGAAAAATGGGGGGGAAAGAGGAAAAATGGAGAAAAAAGGGGGAAATGGAATAAAGGGAAAAATGGGGGGGAAATAAGGAGAAAAATAGGGAAATGGAGGGAAAAGGGGAGGAAGATTAGGGGGAAATGGGGAAAAAGGGGGAACATAGCAAAAAAAGGGGGGAAAATGGGGGAAAAGAGTGGAAAATAGCAAAAAAAGGGGGAAAAGGGGGAAAATAAGGGGGAAAATAAGGGGGAAAAGGGGGAAAAATGGGAAATAGGGAAAAAAGGGGGAGAAAGTGGAGGAAGGAAAAAAAAAATCAAGGAAAAATCCCTTCAAATATTCCTCTAAAAAGCCAAAAAAAAGGAAAAATCCATGTGCAGACTCCAAACTTTCACCATTCCTGAAAAACGCCAAACCCAGAGCTCAATTCCCAAAGATCTGATCCCAAAAAATCCTTCAAAACCAAAAAAAAAAGGAAAAAATTCCCCAGGGGGACTCGAGCAAGCCCAGTGGAAACGAGGCTGAGGCAGAACTGATCAAATTGTGATTTTTCCCCAAAAATTCCAGTTTTCCTACCTTGTTGTAGATGTAGCAGTTTGTAAACATGGTGTTGAAATCCTGGATACATTCTTGAGCGTTCCAGTAATAATTATTTTCCAAGCGTTTCTTTATTGTTCCCATGTCCATCGGAGTTTTAATTATTTTATAATAATCCTGGGGAAAAGGGAATTTAGGGATTTTGAGGGGTTTGGGTTGTGTGGGTTGTTCATGGATTGAGGAGAAGCTGGGTTTCTTCTAAAATGGGGATTTTTAATTGGAAAAAGAGGAAAATTTGGGAAATTTGAGCCCAAAGGCACCAAAATTGATCAAGTTCAACTTTGGGTTATCAGCTCCAAGCATTGGAGCATCAACTCCACCACTGGATCAACTCAACATGGGATCATCAACTCAACGTCAGACCATCAACATGGGACCATCAACTCAACCATTGGAGCATCAACTCAACCACTGGATCATCCAATCCAACCATGGGATCATCAACCCAACCACTGGATCAACTCAACATGGAATGATCAACCCAACCATTGGATCATCAACCCAACCATTGGAGCATCAACTCAACCACTGGATCATCCAATCCAACCATGGGATCATTCAACTCACACCCTGAGGTGGATTTGGGATCACCCTGAGCTCAACATCAGACCATCAACATGGGACCATCAACTCCACCACTGGATCAACTCAACACTGGATCATCAACCCAACCATTGGAGCATCAACTCATCCACTGGATCATCCAATCCAACCACTGGATCATCAACTCCACCACTGGATCATCCAATCCAACCATGGAATCATCAACTCAACCACTGGATCAACTCCAACCACTGGAGCATCAACCCAACCACTGGATTATCAACTCCACCACTGGATCATCAACTCAACCATTGGATCATCAACTCCACCACTGGATCATCAACTGAATCACTGGATCATCAACTCAACCATTGGATCATCAACTGAACCATTGGATCATCAACTCAATCATTGGACCAACTCAACATTGGATCATCAACTGAACATCAGGTCATCAACTCAGCTACTGGATCATCAACCACTGGATCATCCAATCCAACCATTAGATCATCAACTCAACATTGGATCATCAACTCAACATCAGATCATCAACTCAACCCCTGGATTATCCAATCCAACCCTTGGATCATCAACTCAACCACTGGATTATCAACTCTACCACTGGATCATCCAATCCAACCCTTGGATCATCCAATCCAACCACTGGATCATCAACTCCATCCACTGGATCATCAACTCAACCACTGGATCATGGAGTCCAACCACCTGATCAAGTCTAACTTTGGATCACTGAACCCAACTTTGGATCTTCAAATCCAATTTTAGATTATCCAAACCAACTTTGGATCCTCAAGTCCAACTCTGGATTATCCAACCCAGTTTTGGATCAAGTCCAACTCTTGGATCATCTCATCCAACCACCAATTCAAGTCCAACCACCAGCTCAACCCCGCCTGCCACGATTCCCAGAGAACCCCAACCTTCCCCAACTCCTGGAGAACCCCAACATTCCCTGACACCCAGAGAACCCCAACATTCCCCAGCTCCTGGAGAACCCCAACATTCCCTGACACCCAGAGAACCCCAACATTCCCCAACTCCTGGAGAACCCCAACATTCCCCAGTTCCTGGAGAGCCCCAACATTCCCAAAGAACCCCAACCATTCCCCAACTCCTGGAGAACCCCAACCTTCCCCAACTCCCGAAGAACCCCAACATTCCCCAACTCCTGGAGAACCCCAACATTCCCCAGTTCCTGGAGAGCCCCAACATTCCCAAAGAACCCCAACCATTCCCCAACTCCTGGAGAACCCCAACCTTCCCCAACTCCCGAAGAACCACAACATTCCCCAACTCCTGGAGAACCCCAACATTCCCAAAGAATCCCACCACTCCCCAACTCCTGGAGAGCCCCACCCTTCTCCAAACTCACCGGGAGGTTGAGCTTGACGGCGTCCACGGGCTGCTGGAAGGGCCACGCGAACTGATGCTTCCAGAGGGTCTTGAGGACCACCTTGAGCAGATACTGCAGCTGGTTGGTTTGGCGCTTGGGTTTGTTGGGATTGGACGTCTCCGGCGGCGGCGGATTGACCCCGATGCCGCCCCCGGGCTGGGCCTGGCCGGGCGCCGGCGCCGCCGACGGCTGCGTGGAGTCCAGCGCGTCCGGCAGCACCGGCAGGTTCCGCAGGCGCGTGCCGGGGCCGCTCTCGGCCGCCATGGCGTTGATGCCGTTGCATTCCTCACCGGAGACCCTGCGCGCGGGCGGGAGGGGCTTGAGCGAGGATCTGGGGGTTGGGACCACCCTGAGGTGGCACCAAGGGGGTTGGGATCATCCTGAGGTAGCACCAAGGGGGTTGGGACCTGCCTGAGGTGGATTTGGGATCTCCCTGGGGTGGCACCAAGGGGGCTGGGACCACCCTGAGGGATCTGAGGTGGCACCAAGGGGGTTGGGACCACCCTGAGGTGGATTTGGGATCACCCTGAGGAACATGAGGTGGCTTTGGGGGACTCAGATCACCCTGAGGGAGCAGAGGTGGATCTGGGGGGGTTGGGACCACCCTGAGGGAACTGAGGTGGCTTTGGGGCTTGGAATCATCCTGAGGTGGATTTGGGATCACCCTGAGGGACCTGAGGTGGCACCAAGGGGGTTGGGACCACCCTGAGGTGGCACCAAGGGGGTTGGGATCATCCTGAGGTGGATTTGGGACCACCCTGAGGTGGATTTGGGACCACCCTGAGGGACCTGAGGTGGCACCAAGGGGGTTGGGATCTCCCTGGGGTGGCACCAAGGGGCTTTGGACCACCCTGACAGACCCGAGATGGATTTGGGATCACCCTGAGGGACATGAGGTGCCACCAAGGGGTTTGGGACCACCCTGAGGTGGATTTGGGACCACCCTGAGGGACCTGAGGTGGCACCAAGGGGGTTGGGATCTCCCTGGGGTGGCACCAAGGGGCTTTGGACCACCCTGACAGACCCGAGATGGATTTGGGATCACCCTGAGGGACATGAGGTGCCACCAAGGGGTTTGGGACCACCCTGAGGTGGATTTGGGATCACCCTGAGCTGGCACCAAAGGGGCTGGGACCACCCTGAAATTGGTGGTGAAAAAAAGGCAGAAAATTGGAAAAAGGAGCAGAAATTTGGGGAAAAGGGGCACAAGTTTGGGGGAAAAACGACAGGAATTTGGGCAAAGGGGCAGAACTTTGGGAGAAGGGATTTTGGGATTTGCCAGGTACCTTGTAGGATACATTGCCATGGAATTTCTCCCGAAACCGCCGCGGAGTCAGAGCTCGCTCGGCTTCTCCATCGATCCCGGCCCGGCTCCGGGCACGGCCGCCTCCACACCCCGGCTCTGAGGGGGAAAAACCTCGGGAATGTTGGGAATTTCCACCCAAAATCCCGGAAATCCACCCTGGGTTTAGTGGGATACATAAAAATGGGGAGATTCCCATGGACAAATCAAATTTTGGCACCAAAATTTGAATTTTTCTGGGTTTTTTTCCTGTTTTTCCGGCTCCAAATCCCAGCTCTGAGGGGGAAAAAAACCTCAGGAATTTCCCCAAAATCCTGGAAATCCACCCTGGGTTTAGTGGGATCCACAAAAATGGGGAGATTTCCATGGGAAAATGAGATTTTGGCACCAAAATTTGGGGGTTTCCCATTTTTTCCCCCATTTTTTCCAGCCCCCAAACTCCAAAAAATTGGGACAACCCTACAGAAAAATGAGATTTTGGCACCAAAATTTGAGGTTTTCCCATTCTCCCCCCCAAACAATTGGGACAATCCTACAGAAAAATGAGATTTTGGCACCAAAATTTGAGGTTTTCCCATTCTCCCCCCCAAACAATTGGGACAATCCTACAGAAAAATGAGATTTTGGCACCAAAATTTGAGGTTTTCCCATTCTCCCCCCCAAACAATTGGGACAATCCTACAGAAAAATGAGATTTTGGCACCAAAATTTGGGGTTTTCCCATTCTCCCCCCCAAACAATTGGGACAATCCTACAGAAAAATGAGATTTAATTTTTCTGGGTTTTTTTCGCTTTTTTTCCCGTTTTTCCAGCCCCAAATCCGCATTCCCAGGAGGGATTTCTGCTCCACACCCTGATTCTAAGGGGGAAAAACCCTTGGGAATACTGGGAATTTCCCCCCAAAATCCTGGAAATCCACCTTGGCTTTATTGGGATTCCCAAAAATTGAGAGAATCCGATGAAAACTGAGATTTTGGTATAAAAATTTGGGTTTTTCCAGTTTTTCTCCAGCTCCAAATCTGCATTCCAAGGAAGGATTTCTACTCCAGACTCCGACTCTGAGAGGGAAAAACCCTCGGGAATGTTGGGAATTTCCACCCAAAATCCCGGAAATCCACCCTGGGTTTAGCGGGATCCACAAAAATGGGGAGATTCCCATGGACAATTTTTTCCCCATTTTTCCAGCCCCAAGGAGGGATTTCTGCTCCAGATGCCAAATCAATCCCGACTCCGAGGGGAAAAAAATTCAGGAATTTCCACCCAAAATCCCGGAAATCCACCCTGGGTTTAGTGGGATCCACAAAAATGGGGAGATTCCCATGGAAAAATCAAATTTTGACAACAAAATTTGGGGTTTTCCCAATAATTTTAGGAAAAGCCGAATTTACCGGAATTTTCCAGGTGCCCCTTCCAGCTGTGGCTCCCTCAGCCTCTGACCTTCATCTTCCACCTCACGCTGGGAAAAGCTCTGCAAAAAAAGGGGATTTCCATCAATTCCTGATTCCAGCCCCAAAATTCCTAACCCAGGCCTCAAAATTCCTGATTTCTGCCCAAAATTCCCAATTCTGGACTCGAAATTCCCAATTCCAGCCCCAAAATTCCACTTTTCAGCCTCAAAATTCTGATTTCTGACCCAAAAATTCTGAATTCCAGCTCCAAAATTCCCAATTCTGGCCTCAAAATTCCCAATTTCAGCCCCAAAATTCCAAATTCCGGCCCCAAAATCCTGAATTCCAGCCAAAATATTCCCATTTCCAACCTCAAAATCCCAATCCAGACCCAAAATTGGAAATTTAAACCCTAAAATTCTCAATTCCAGCCCCAAAACTCTGAATTTCAGCTCCAAAATTCCTAATTCTGGTCTCAAAATTCCCAATTCCAGCCAAAATATTCCCATTTCCAGCCTCAAAATTCCCAATTTTGGCCTCAAAATTCCCAATTCAAACGCCAAAATTCCCAATTCTGGCCCCAAAATTCTCAATTTCAGCCAAAAAATTCCCATTTCCAGCCCAAAATTCCAAATTCTGGCCTCAAAATTCCCAACTTCAGCTCCAAATTCCCAATTCCAGCCACAAAATTCCCAATCCAGGCCCAAAAATTCTGAATTCCAGCCCCAAAACTGCCAATTCCGTCCCTAAAATTCCCAGTTCTGGCCTCAAAATTCCCAATTTCACCCCCAAACCTCCAAATTCTGGCCTCAAAATTTTAAATTTCAGCCCCAAAATTCGCAATTCCAGCCCAAAATTCGCAATTCCAGCCCCAAAATTCTCAATTTCAGCCCAAAATTCCCAATTTCAGCCCCAAAATCTCCCCAAAAATGCCCCAAAAATGAGATTTAAACCCCCAGAAAATGAAGGAACCCCAAATCCCCCCAGGGTCAGCCCAACTGCACTCCTGAGCAATTAAAACTGAGCTTAATTAACATTTAGTGCTGGGTTTAAGTGGTTCAGAGCCTTACTCACTCTTTACTCAGAGCTTTGTCATTAAACCCGGGTTTAATTGGCTTTTAGGCTGGGTTTAAGTGACCCACAGCCTTACTCAGACCTCTGTCACCCCTGAGCAATTAAAACTGAGCTTAATTAACATTTAGTGCTGGGTTTAAGTGGTTCAGAGCCTTACTCAAATCTCTGTCACCCCTGACTAATTAAAACTGAGCTTAATTAACATTTTAGTGCTGGGTTTAAGTGGTTCAGAGCCTTACTCAAATCTCTGTCACCCTTGGAGGCCAAAAAATTCCAAATTCCAGCCCAAACCCAAGCCAGGGATGGCAAAAAAAGGAGAAAATTCCCCAAATCTGAATCCCAGAAATCCAAAATTCCCAAATTCCCCCAAATCCGGGAATTTTCCCTTGGAATTCTCCAAAATCTTCAGCAAATCCCAGAATTTGGGATGAAAATTCCCATTTTTCCTTCAGTTCCAGAGGCATTCCTAAAGGAAAATCCCAAATATTTCAATCCCAGGAAATTTGGGATAAAAATTCCCAGGTTTTCTACAATTTTAGAAGCACAGAATTCCCAGAAAATCCCAAATATTCTCATTCCAGGAAATTTGGGATAAAAATTCCAATTTTTCCTCCAGTTCCTTAAATAACCCCAAAACCTTGGGAATGATCCTCAAATTTTGGGATTAATCTTAAAACAAACTCCAAAAATTTGGGAAATTATCCTTCAATGACGCCAAAATTTTGGAAACTGATCCTTAAAAAAATCCAAATTTTGGGAACTGATCCTTAAATGACCCCAAAATTTGGGAATTGATCCTTAAATAATCCCAAAACTTTGGAAATTATCCTTAAATAATCCTCAAATTTAGGGAATTGATCCTTAAATGATCCCAAAACTTTGGGAATGATCCTTAAATGACCCCAAAATTTTAGGAATTACCCTTAAATAACCCCAAAATTTTGGGAATTATCCTTAAAGGACACCAAAATTTTGGGAATTATCCTTAAATAACCCCAAAATTTTGGGAATGATCTTTAAAAAACCCCAAAATTTGGAAACTGATCCTTAAGAAACCCAAAAATTTGGGAGTTGATTCTTAAAGGACCCCAAAACTTTGGGAATTATCCTTTAAAAACCCAAAAATTTGGGAACTGATCCTTAAATAATCCCAAAACTTTGGAAAGCGACCTTTAAATGACCCAAAAATTTTGCAAATTATCCTCAAATGACCCCAAAATTTTGGGAAATGATCCTTAAATAACCCCAAATTTTGGGAACTGAGGCTCAAAAGTCCCAAAACTTGCACAGAAAATCCCCAAACAGCCCCAAAATTCCACAAGTGATGCTCAAACATCCCCAGAATTTGGGAAATGAGGCTCAAAAATCCCAAAATTTTCACTAAAGCTCCTCCAACAGCTCCAAAACTTCAGGAACAAAACTGAAACCGCCCCAAAATTCAACAGGTGATGCTGAAACAGCCCCAAAACTTCAGGAAACAAAGCTCAAACCAGCCCAAAATTTGACAGATGAAGCTCAAAACCCCAAAACTTCGACAAAAGATCCTCAAACTACCCCAAAATCCCACCAGTGATGATCAAGCCACACCAAAATTTTGGGAAAAAATCCTCAAACAATCCCAAATTTTGGGAATTGACCCTTAAATAATCCCAAAACGTTGGGAAATTTTCCTCAAATAACCCCAAATTTTGGGAACTGATCCTCAAATAACCCCAGATTTTGAGAATTCATCCTCAAATAACCCCAAATTTTGGGAATGTTCCTCAAATAACCCCAGATTTTGGCAACTGATCCTCAAATAACCCCAAAATTTGAAAGATGAAGCTCAAAACCCCAGAACTTTGACAAAAAATCCCCAAACAGCCCCAAAATTCAACAAGTGATGCTCAAACCATCCCAAACTTTGGGAAAGGATCCCCAAATACCTCAAAACTTTGGGAAAAGATCCCAAAATCTCCCCAAACTTAGGGAAACTATCCCAAAATCACCCCCAAAACTCAGAAAATTACTCCAAAATCCCCCAAACTTTGGGAAATGATCCCCAAATCCCCCAAACTTTGGAACAGGATCCCCAAAACCATCCCAAACTTCATAAAATGATCCCCAAAATCCCCCAAACTTTGGGAAAGAATCCCAAAATGCCACAAAACTTTGTGGAATTATCCCCAAACCATTCTAAACTTTGGGGGAAAGTCTCCAAAATCTCCCAAAATTAAAGAAATGATCCCCCAAATCCCTCAAAACTTTGGGAAATGATTCCCAAAACTCTGAGAAATTATCCCAAAAATCCCCCCAAACTTTGGGGAACGACCCCCAAATCCCAAAAACATTGGGAAAAGATCCCCAAAACCCCCCCAAATTTCATAAAATGATCCCAAAAATCCCCCAAACTTTGGGAAAGGATCTCAAAATCCCGCAAACTTTAGGAAAAAATTCCCCAAAATCTCCCTCAAACTTTGGGAAAGGACCCCCAAATCCACCCAAACTTTGGGAAAGGATCCCAAAAACCCTCAAAACTTTGACAAATGATCCCAAAAATCCCCCGAACTTAGGGAACAATCCCAAAATCCCCCCCAAAATTCAGAAAATAACTCCAAAATCCCCCAAACTTTGGGAAAGGAACCCAAAATCCCCTGAACTTAGGGAACAATCCCAAAATCCCCCCCAAAATTCAGAAAATAACTCCAAAATCCCCCAAACTTTGGGAAAGGATCCCAAAATCCCCCAAACTTTAGGAAAAATTCCCCAAAATCTCCCCCAAACTTTGGGAAACGCTGCTCCAAACGCCAGAGCTCCCAAAATCCCAGCAGCAAACCCTGCCCCCAGCTCCTGCAGCCCCACCCCCGGCTCATTAAGGGCTAATTAGCAGCTAATTAGCCCCGGGTTCACCCAGCCCCAGGGATAACGGGGCTGTTCCCGGGAAAAGCCTGCCCAGGAGGGTTCGGGGTCATCCCAGGGAAATTTGGGGATTTTTGGGAGTTAAATCCAAGGGAAGGGTGGGGGGGGGAGGGACTGACACCCCAAAAATTCCCTCAGGTTGGAAATTCCCAGCCCAAAACTTTGGGAATTCCCTCAGGCTCCAAATTCCCATCCCAAAATATCCAGGAATTCCCTCAGGCTGGGAATTTCAACCCCAAAATATCCAGGGATTCCCTCAGGCTCCCAATTGCCAGCCCCAAAATTTTGGGAATTCCTTCAGGTTCCAAATTCCCATCCCAAGATACCGGGGAATATCCCCAGGATGCAAATTCCAACCTCAAAATCCCCAAGACACCCCCAGGCTCTCAATTCCCAGCCCAAGACTTCAGGAATTCCCTCAGGCTGAAAATTCCCATCCCAAAACATCCTGGAAATCCCTCAGGTTCCCAATTCCGACCCCAAAACCTTGGGAATTCCCTCAGGTTCCAAATTCCCATCCCTAAAACATCAGGAATTCCCTCAGGCTGGAAATTCCCAGCCCAAAACTTTGGGAATTCCCTCAGGTTCCAAATTCCCATCCCTAAATTCCCAGGAATTCCCTCGGGTTCCAAATTCCCATCCCTAAAACATCAGGAATTCCCTCAGGCTGGAAATTCAAACCCCAAAATCTTGGGAATTCCCTTAAGCTCCCAATTCCCATCCCTAAATCCTCAGGAATTCCCTCAGGCTGGAAATTTCCATCCCAAAATATCCCAGAACTCCCTCAGGCTGGAAATTTCCATCCCAAAATATCCCAGAACTCCCTCAGGCTGGAAATTCCAACCCCAAAACACCAGGAATTCCCTCAGGTTGGAAATTCCCATCCCTAAAACCTCGGGAATTCTCTCAGGCTGCAAATTCCCAGCCCAGAATCTTGGGAATTCCCTCAGGTTCCAATTTCCCAGCCCAAAACCTCAGGAATTCCCTCAGGTTCCAATTTCCCAGCCCAAAACCTGGGGAATTCCCTCAGGCTCCCAATTCCCATCCCAGAATCTTGGGAATTCCCTCAGGCTCCCAATTCCCACCCCAAAACCTCAGGAATACCCTCAGGCTGGGAATTCCCATCCCTAAGTTCCCAGCAATTCCCTCAGGTTCCAAATTCCCATCCCTAAAACCTCAGGAATTCCCTCAGGTTCCAAATTCCCATCCCTAAAACCTCAGGAATTCCCTCAGGTTCCAAATTCCCAGCCCAAAACCTCAGGAATTCCCTCAAGCTCCCAATTCCCACCCCAAAACCTCGGGAATTCCCTCAGGCTGGGAATTTCAACCCTAAAACCTCAGCAATTCCCTCAGGTTCCCAATTCCCAACCCTAAAACCTCAGGAATTCCCCCAGGTTCCAAATTCCCAGCCCAAAACCTCGGGAATTCCCTCAAACTCCCAATTCCCAGCCCAAAACCTCAGGAATTCCCTCAGGTTCCAATTTCCCAGCCCAAAACCTGGGGAATTGCCTCAGGCTCCCAATTCCCAACCCTAAAAAATTGGGAATTGCCTCAGGTTCCCAATTCCCAGCCAAAAAAAATCCAGGAATTCCCTCAAGCTCCCAATTCCCATCCCTAAAACCTCAGCAATTCCCTCAGGCTGGAAATTAATTCCCATCCCAAAATATCCAGGAATTCCCTCAGGTTCTAAATTCCCATCCCAAAAAAACCCTGGGAATTCCCTCAGGCTCCCAATTCCCATCCCCAAAATTTCGGGAATTCCTTTAGATTCCAAATTCCCACCCCAAAACCTCAGGAATTCCCACAAAGCTCTAAATTCCCATCCCAAAAAAAAACAGGGAATACCCCCAGGCTCCAAATTCCAACCCCAAAATCCCAAAGACACCCCCAAGCTCCCAATTCCCAGCCCAAAACCACCAGGAATTCCCTCAGTGTCCCTTTCCCATCCCAAATAAAACCCAGGAATTCCCTCAGCATTCCATTCCCATCCCAAAAATTCCAGGAATTCCCTCAGTGTTTCATTCCCATCCCAAAAAAAAAAACCCAAAAACTAGGAATTCCCTCCACATTCCATTCCCATCCCAGAAAACTCAGCAATTCCTTCAGTGTTCCATTCCCACCCCAAAACAACCAGGAACTCCCTCAGGAATTCCTTCCCAACCCCAAAAAAATCCAGGAATTCCCTCAGTGTTCCATTCCCATCCTAAAACATCCAGGAATTCCTTCATATTCCCAATTCCTATCAAAAAAAACCCTGGAATTCCCTCAGTGTCCACTCCTCATCCCCAAAACATCCACAATTCCTTCAGTGTTCCATTCCCATCCCAAAAAAACAGGAATTCCCTCAGGGTTCCCTTCCCAACACCAAAAAAGAAAAAATCCAGGAATTCCCTCAGTGCCCCACTGCCACCCTATAGAAACAGGAATTCCCTCAGGCTCCCAATTCTCACCCCAAAAAAACTGGGAATACTTTCAGGGACTCCCCATTAGCCCAAAATATCCAGGAATCCCCTCAGTGTCCAATTTCCACCCCAAAACATTCCAGGAATTCCCTCAGCATCCTATTGCCACGCCAAAAAATCCAGGAATTCCCTCAGCATCCTATTGCCATGCCAAAAAATCCAGGAATCCCCTCAGTGTTCACTCCTCATCCCAAAACTTCCAGGAATTCCCTCAGTATTCCATTTCCGTCTCAAAAATGCCCTCAGTGCCCCATCCCCATCCCAAAAAACCCAGGAATTCTTTCAGTATTCCATTCCCATCCCAAAAATCCCCTCAGTGATCACTCCTCATCCCAAAACAGCCAGGAATCCCCTCAGTGTCCACTGCTCATCCCAAAAATCCCAGGAATTCCCTCAGTGTTCCATTCCCATCCTAAAACATCCAGGAATTCCTTCATATTCCCAATTCCTATTAAAAAAAAAAAAAAAACAACCTGGAATTCCCTCAGTGTCCACTCCTCATCCCCAAAACATCCAGAATTCCCTCAGTGTTCCATTCCCATCCCAAAAATCCTGGCAATTCCCTCAGTGCCCCATTCCCATCTCAAACCATCCAGGAATTCCCTCAGCATTCCATTCCCATCCCAAAAACCCTGGGAACACTTTCAGGGACACCCTGTCAGCCCAAAACATCCAGGAATTCCCTCAGTGCTCCTTTCCCATCCCAAAAAAAAAAAGGGAATTCCCTCAGTGCTCCCTTCCCATCCCAAACCATCCAGGAATCCCCTCAGTGTCCACTCCTCATCCCAAAAAAAAACAGGAATCCCCTCAGTGTCCACTCCTCATCCCAAAAATCCCAGAAATTCCCTCAGTGTCCCTTCTCCTCCCAAAAATCCTGGCAATTCCCTCAGTGCCCCATTCCCATCCCAAAACACCCAGGAATTCCTCCATATTCCCAAAAAAAGCTGGAATTCTCTCAAGTGTCTACTTCCCATCCTACAAAACCTGGAATTCCCTCAGTGTTCCATTCCCACCCAAAATATCCAGGAATTCCCTCAGTGTTCACTCATCATCCCAAAGAAACCAGGAATTCTCTCGGTGTTCCCTCCTCATTCAAAAAAAAAAAAAAAAAAAACACCTTGGGAATTCCCTCCTCATCCCAAAACATCCAGGAATTCCCTCAGTGTCCCCTTCCCATCCCAAAAAAAAAACCCAAGAATTCTCTCAGTATTTCATTCCCATCCCAAAAATCCACTCCTCATCCCAAAAATCCCAGGAATTCTCTCAGTGTTCCATTCCCATCCCAAACCATCCAGGAATTCTCTCAGTGTCCCATTCCCATCCCAAAAAAAACTAGGAATTCCTTCAGTGTCCCGTTCTCCTTCCAAAAATCCTGGCAATTCCCTCAGTGCCCCATTCCCATCCCAAAACATCCAGAAATTCCCTCAGTGCCCCATATCCGTTCTCTCAGTACCCCATTCCCATCCCCAAAAAAACTAGGAATTCTCTCAGTGTCCCATTCCCATCCCAAAACATCCAGAAATTCCCTCAGTGCCCCATATCCATCCCAAAAAAACCAGGAATTCCCTCAGTGATTCATCATCCCCATCCCAAAACATCCAAGAATTCCCTCAGTGTCCCCTTCCCATCCCATAAAACCCAGGAATTCCCTCAGTGTCCCATTCCCATTCCAAAACAATCAGGAATTCCTTCAGGGTCCCGTTCTCCTCCCAAAAATCCTGGCAATTCCCTCAGTGTTCACTCCTCATCCCAAAACAACCAGGAATTCTCTCAGTGCCCTTTCCAACTTCAAAATATCCAGGAATTCCCTCAGTGCCCCATTCCCATCCCAAAAAAACTGTGATTTCCCTCAGTGCTCCAGTCCCATCCCAAAACATCCAGGAATCCCTTCATTTTCCCAATTCGTGTCAAAAAAACCCTGGAATTCTCTCAGGGTCTACTTCCCATCCTATAAAACCAGGAAATTCCCTCAATGTCCCATCCCCATCCCAAAAAATCCAGCAAATCACTCAGTGTCCACTCTTCATCCCAAAACATCCAGGAATTCCCTCAGTGCCCCATTCCCATGCCAAAATATCCAGGAATTCCCTCAGAGCCCCATTCCCATCCCAAAACATCCAGGAATTCCCTCAGTGCCCCATTCCCATCCCAAAAAAACCTAGGAATTCCCTCAGTGCCCCATTCCCATCCCAAAAAAACCTAGGATTTCCCTCAGTGCCCCATTCCCATCCCAAAAAAACCTAGGATTTCCCTCAGTGCCCCATTCCCATCCCAAAAAAACCTAGGATTTCCCTCAGTGCCCCATTCCCATCCCAAAAAAACCTAGGATTTCCCTCAGTGCCCCATTCCCATCCCAAAAAAACCTAGGATTTCCCTCAGTGCCCCATTCCCATCCCAAAACATCCAGAAATTCCCTCAGTGCCCCATATCCATCCCAAAAAAACCAGGAATTCCCTCAGTGATTCATCATCCCCATCCCAAAACATCCAAGAATTCCCTCAGTGTCCCCTTCCCATCCCATAAAACCCAGGAATTCCCTCAGTGTCCCATTCCCATTCCAAAACAATCAGGAATTCCTTCAGGGTCCCGTTCTCCTCCCAAAAATCCTGGCAATTCCCTCAGTGTTCACTCCTCATCCCAAAACAACCAGGAATTCTCTCAGTGCCCTTTCCAACCTCAAAATATCCAGGAATCCCCTCAGTATCCCATTCCCATCCCAAAAAAACTGTGATTTCCCTCAGTGCTCCAGTCCCATCCCAAAACATCCAGGAATCCCTTCATTTTCCCAATTCGTGTCAAAAAAACCCTGGAATTCTCTCAGGGTCTACTTCCCATCCTATAAAACCAGGAAATTCCCTCAATGTCCCATCCCCATCCCAAAAAATCCAGCAAATCACTCAGTGTCCACTCTTCATCCCAAAACATCCAGGAATTCCCTCAGTGCCCCATTCCCATGCCAAAATATCCAGGAATTCCCTCAGAGCCCCATTCCCATCCCAAAACATCCAGGAATTCCCTCAGTGCCCCATTCCCATCCCAAAATATCCAGGAATTCCCTCAGCATTCCATTCCCATCCCAAAAACTCCAGGATTTCCCTCAGTGCCCCACTCCCATCCCAAAACACTCAGGAATACTTTCAAGCACTCCTGTCACCACAAAACATCCAGGAATTCCCTCAGAGCCCCATTCCCATCCCAAAATATCCAGGATTTCCCTCAGTGCTCCATTCCCATCCTATAAAACCTAGGAATTTCCTCAGCGTTCCCTCCTCGTTCCCAAAAATACCACGAATTTCCTCAGTGTTCGCTCCTCATCCCAAATAAACCGTGAATTCCCTCAGAGCTCACTCTTCATCCCAAACTCCCGGTGTCGCCCCTCAGACTCGCGGTGTCCCCCCCGCGCTCCCCTCAGGATCTGCCCCGCTCCCCGCGCCGAGCGCTCCGACGTCACCGTTCGCCAAAAACCGCCCCACACCTCGGCAATTCGGCAAAAACCGCACCGGGAAAGCTCCAAAGCGTCCCGGGAGAGGCCGCGGCGCCGGGCCCGCTGAGGCCCCGCGGTCCCGGGCCGCCCTCGGCGCGTCCTCCCCTCACGGAGCGGGCGGGGGCGGCCCCGCGGGGCGGGAGCGGCCTGGGCCTAACGGGGGCGGGCTGGGCCTAACGGGGGCGGGCTGCCTCGGCCGCAGGGGTCCCGGGTGACACCGGGGGGGGGTTGGGGACAGTTTGGGGGGTCCCGAGACACTTTGGGGAGATTTTGGGGGGTCCCGGGTGACACCAGGGAGGTTCGGGGACTTTCTGGGGGTCCTTGGGGACATTTGAGGGGTCCTGGGACATTTTTTTGGGGGGTCCTGGAGAACTTTGGGGACAATTTGGGGATTTTAGGGACATTTTGGGGGTCCCAGGGACATTTTGGGGGGATTTTGGGGACCCCCCCCCCCCCAGGAAATTCCAATTCCAGAGAAATTTGGGATCAATTTGAAGAAAAACCTCCCCAAAATTCCCTTTTTTTTTTTTTCTTTATTTTTTTTTAAATTCCCATCGATTTTTGGGGTGAAAAAAGGGAATTTTGGTTCAACCCAAAATCAGGGATTTATTCCAAATTTATTCCAAATTTATTCAAAAAATCGGCTCTGAATCCCAAAGAATTCCTGGGGTTTTTTAGGGAATTTTTAAGGAAAAAGAAAGGATCAAAAGCACGGGGGTGGAGCCTCAAATTTTGCTGGAAAAAGGAAATTTTTGGGGAAAAAATCAAGAATTTCTCCCCAAAAAATCCCCTTTGGAACGAGATCATTCCTTAAAAATCCCATTCCAGCCCCAAATCCCACGAAAAAAAGGAAAATTAAAGGGAAAAATTCCAATTTTTTTGGAAAAATCTTCACTAAAATTGAGGAATTTTGGGAAAAAAAAAAAAGAAATCTTCAGGAATTTTTCCAAACTTCCAATTTTTTATTTTTCCCATTTTTTGGGATTTTTTTTTTTTCCCTGAAAATTGCCCCAAATCCCAGCAGAGAATTCCTCAGGGATGAGAAAATTCAGGAATTTCTCCTTTTTTGTGGCTTCTTCATCCTGGAAAGGGAAAAAAATAAATAAAATCAGGGATGGGGAAAAAATGGAATTTTAAGGAATTTTCCAGGAATTCTCCCCAAAATTCCAATTCCAGGGTGGAAAAATCCCGATTTCCTGGGTGGAATTCTCACCTTCTCCTCAGGGCTCTTCCCAGCTTTCCTCCTCTTCCTTCCCCAGGGGTTTTTCCTCTTTTTCCGGGATTTTTTCTGGAATTTTCTCCGGAATTTTCCCCTCCTCTTCCCCCTCCCCTCCCTCCGCTGGGTTTTGGGGGGAAATCCCCAAGTTTTGGGGGTTTTCTGTTGGATTTTCTTGGGGATTTTCCGGATTTTCTTGGGGATTTTTGGGATTTTCTTGGGGATTTTCTGAATTTTCTTGGGAATTTTCTTGGGGATTTTCCAGATTTTCTTGGGGATTTTCTGGATTTTCTTGGGAATTTTCCAGATTTTCTTGGGGATTTTCCGGATTTTCTTGGGAATTTTTGGGATTTTCTTGGGAATTTTCTGGATTTTCTTGGGAATTTTCCATTTGGGGAAAATTGGGGGAAAAATACTGAAAATTTGGGGGGGAAAAGGGAAAATTGAGGGAAAAAACTAAGGAAATTTGGGCGGAAATTAGGGGGAAAAAGCAGGGGAAAATTGGGGGAAAAAGATGGAAATTTGGGAAAAATTGGGGAAAAGGGAAAATTGAAGGGGAAAAACGTGGAAAATTGGGGGAAAATTAGGGAAAAAATGAGGGGAAAAGGGGAAATTGGAGGAAAAATATTGATATTTGGGGAAAATTAGGGGGGAGAAAGGGAAATTTGGGGGAAAATATTGAGAATTAGGGAAAAGCAGGGAAAAAACCACGGAAAATTGGGGGAGAAAACTTTGAAAATTAATGAAAACCAGGGGAAATTGGGAAAAATAGGGGAAATCAGGGGAAAAAACATGGAAAATTGGGGGGAAATATTGAAAATTTGGAGGGAAAAGGGAAAATTGGGGGAAAAAACCACGGAAATTTGGGGGGGAAATGGGGGACAAAGAGAAAATTGGGGGGAAAACCGTGGGAAATTGGGGAGAAAAGATTGAAAATTTGGGGAGAAAAGGGAAAATTGGGGGAAAAACCAAGGAAATTTGGGGGGAAATTGGAGGAAAAATGGGGGTGAAATGGAAGTTTTGGGAAAAAAAATGGGAAAAATTGGGGGAAAAGGGAAATTAGGGGGAAAAACATGGAAATTTGGGGAAAATTGGGGAAAAACAGGAATTTTGGGGGGGAATATTGAAAATTAGGCAAAAGCAGGGAAATAGAAAATTGGAGAGGAAAAAAAAAATTGAAAATTAGGGAAAACCATGGAAAAAATCATGGAAATTGGGGGAAAAAACCACAAAAATTTGGGGAAAAACAAGGAAAATTGGAGGAAAAGCCAAGGAAATTGGGGGGAAAAGGTGAAAGTGGAGGAAAAGGAATTGAAAATTGGGGAGGAAAACAGAAAATTGGGAGAAAACAGGGAAATTTTGGGGGAAAATAATGGAGAATTGGGAAAATAGGAGGAAATTGGGGAAAAAATTGAAAATTAGGGAAAATAGCATGGAAAACTGGGGGAAAATAGGGAAAAACGTGGAAATTTGGGGTAAAAAACATTGAAAATTGGGGAGAAAGAGGGAAAATTTGGGGGGAAATCCTGGAAAATTGGGGAAAAGCAAGGGAAATAAGGGAAAAAAATGGAAAATTGGGGAAAATGTGGGAAATTTTGGGAATTTGGCAGGGGAGGAAAAACCCGCAAGACTTTAAAGGGGAAAAAATGGAATAATGGTCCTGGGATTGTCCCAAAATCTCTGGGAATTGTCCCAAAAGTTTTTGGGAATTGCCCCAATTCCTGCCAGGGGGGATTTTTGGGGTTTTTCTGAGGAAATTTTTTGGGAATGTTCAGGTTTTTTTGGGGAGAAGTCTCAGGATTTTTGGGAATTTTTGTGGTTTGTGTTATTTTAATTTTTTTTTTTTTTTTTTTGGGGGGGGGGGGGTGAATTTTCAGGGGTATTTTGGGATTTTTGGGGGGAATTTTTAGGGTTATCTTTGAATTTTTGGTGGGTTTGGGGAGAATTTTTCGATTTTTTTTTTTTAATTTTCAGAGGCATTTTGGGGTTTTTTGGGGAATTTTTAGGGAAATTTTTGGGGTTTTTTTTTTTTAAGATTTTTTTGGGGGGGGGGGTGAATTTTCAGGGGTATTTTGGGATTTTTGGGGGGAATTTTTAGGGTTATCTTTGAATTTTTGGTGGGTTTGGGGAGAATTTTTCGATTTTTTTTTTTTAATTTTCAGAGGCATTTTGGGGCTTTTTGGGGAATTTTTAGGGAAATTTTTGGGGTTTTTTTGGAAATTCTCAGGTATTACCTGGACTCCCTTTTTCCAGCTGGGAATTGCTCACCTGGGAATTATGGGAACGCTGCTGGGGAATTTCTGGGAATTCTTTGGAATTTCCGGGAATTTTTTGGAATGTTTGGAGGGTTTGTGTTTTTTTTTTTTTTTCTGGGAGATTTTTTTCCAGGATTGGCTCCGTGGGATGGAGAGGTTCCGGTTTGGGATGGGCTGGGACACTGGGAATTGCTGGGAATTACTGGGAATAACTGGGAATGCTGGTCTGGGATAATGGGAATTACTGGGAATAACTGGGAATTACTGGGAATGCTGGGAATGCTGGTCTGGGATAATGGGAATTACTGGGAATACTGGGAATGCTGGTCTGGGATAATGGGAATTACTGGGAATACTGGGAATGCTGGTCTGGGATAATGGGAATTACTGGGATAATGGGAATTACTGGGAAATACTGGGAATGCTGGTCTGGGATAATGGGAATTCCTGGAGTCCCAAACTGGGATCATGGGAACGATCCCATCCCAAACTGGGATAATGGGAATGATCCCATCCCATGCAGCCGATTCCAGGCTCAACGTCCCTGCTTTTCCTGGGATCCAAAACCCCTTTTTTGGGATCCAAAATCCCTGCTTTTCCCGGGATCCCAAATCCCCTTTTTCCCGGTATCCAACGTCCCTTTTCCTGGGATTTAGGGTCACTTTTCCTTGGATCCGTCATCCCTTTTTGTGGGATCCAAATCCCATTTTTTGGATCCAAATCCTTTCCCTGGACTCGATCCCTTTTGTCCCGGGATCCAAGGTCTCTCTTCCCAGGATCCAAATCCCATTTTTCCCAGGACCTGAAGTCCATCTTCCCAGGATCCAAAGTCCTTTTTTTGGGATCCAAAATCCCATTTTTCCTGGGATCCAACGTCCCTTTTCCTTGGACTCGTGAGTCCTTTTCCCAGGATCCAAAGTCCCTCTTCTTGGGATCCAAATCCCTTTTTTTGGGATCCAAATCCCATTTTTTGGGATCCAAATTCCCCAGGATCCAACGTACCTTCCTTTCCTGGAATCCAACGTCCCTTCTTCCAGGATCCAACGTCCTTCTTTTGGGATCACTCCTTTCCCAAGATCCCAAATCCCTTTTTTTGGGATCCAAATCCCATTTTTTGGGATCCAAATTCCCCAGGATCCAACGTACCTTCCTTTCCTGGAATCCAACGTCCCTTCTTCCGGGATCCAACGTCCTTCTTTTGGGGTCCCTCCTTTCCCAGGATCCCAAATCCCTTTTTTTGGGATCCAAATCCCATTTTTCCCAGGGATCCAAATCCCTTTTCCCCGCACTCAACGTCCTTTCTTTCTTGGGATCCAAGGTCCCTTTCCCCGGGATCCAAAGGCTTTTTTTGGGATCCAAATCCCATTTTTCCCAGGACCTGAGGCCCATCTTCCCGGGATCCAAAGTCCCATTTCCTTGGACTCCAAAGTCCCATTTTTTGGGATCCAAATCCCATTTTTCCCAGGACTCCAGGTCCAGCTTCCCAGGATCCAAAATCCTTCTTCTTGGGCTCCAAAGGCCCATTTTTTTGGGATCCAAATTCCCTCTTCTTGGACTCAAAGTCCTTTTTATCCCGGGATCCAGCGTCCCTTTCCCAGGATTTTCCCAGGATCCAAGGTCCTTTTTCTTGGGATCCAAATCCCATTTTCCCCGGGATCCAGCGTCCCTTTCCCAGGA